AACCAGAAGCCTGAAACTTAACCGTTTTTCAGGTATACTTTGTTGGGAGGGGTACACCTGGTGGTGCTAAGGGCTTTACTTCTGACTCTGCACTCAGGGTTCATTCCTGGCGGGGCTCAGGGGAACATATGAAGTGCCAGGGATCAAGCCCTCTTGGCCACATACAAGGCATATGCCTTACCTGCTGCATTATTACTCCCGCCCCATTTTAAAGTATTCTTGTAGTACTGTAGCACTGTCTTCCCGTTGTTAATTGATTTACTCGAGTGGGCCCAGTAACGTTTCTGTTGTGAGACTTGTTGTTACTGTGTTTGGCATATCGAATACGTCACAGGTATCTTGCCAGGCTTTGCCGTGTGGGCGAGATGCTCTCAGTAGCTTGCCAGGCTCTCTGAGAAGGACAGAGGAATCGAACTCAGGTCAGCAAACGCCCTACCACCGTGCTATCACTTCAGCCCTAAGGTATTGTTAATTTTAAAAAGAAGTTTTCTTTCACAGTGACTAAATTGAAATAGCCTGAACTGACAACCCATTAGCTAGTTTTAGTACATCATACTAACTCATACTTATTATGAACTCATACATATTATGAGTTCTACATCATCTTATTTCGCATCAGTACTTCAAGTCAAATTAGTAGGAAATTTAAATATTTTTCTATGTATTCATATAATTCACTTATTCTAATTAGATTGGGTTGGAGCAATAGCACAGTGGTAGGGCATTTGCCTTGCGCACAGCCAGCCTGGCTGAGCCAGGTTCGATTCCTCCGCCCCTCTCAGCGGAGAGCCTGGCAAGCTACTGCGAGTATCTCGCCCGCACAGCAAAGCCTGGCAAGCTACCTGTGACATATTTGATATGCCAAACACAGTAATAAGTCTCACAATGGAGACGTTACTGGGCCCACTCAAGCAAATTGATGAATAACGGAAGGACAGTGCTAGAGTGCTAATTAGATTATCAAACAATCGAAGAGTCTATTCATTGTTTGGGTTTGAAATGTATCTGGGTTAGGGTGTTTGCCTTGCTCGCAGCTGGCACGGCCAACCCGAGTTCGATTCCTCTGCCCCTCTTGGAGAGCCCAGCAAGCTACTGAGAGTATATGCCCGCACGGAAAAGCCTGGCAAGCTCCCCGTGAAGTATTCGATATGCCAAACACAGTAACAAGTCTCACAATGTTACTGGGCCTGCTCGAGCAAATCGATGAACAACAGGAGGACAGTGACAGTGACTATTCCTCTGATGGAACTACTTCTACCATTTCATCGGCTTCATTTTACAAGTGAGAAAACTAGATTTAAGGGACTAAACAACCACCCCAGGTACCCATTAACTAGTAAGTGGAAGAAATGAGACTTCATCCTGGGGACATTCAGATACCAGGTAGAGAGGCCAGACAACCCTTTCACAGAGAATCCACAACGCCAGGTGTGACCCAAAAATCAAACACAAAAACACAGAATTAGAGCCCGGCCCCACCTGTCAAATCCAAGCAAGCAGTTGGTCAAAAGCCGGAGCTCTGACCACAGTGCAAGTATGATAGAGCATGAACTCTGGAGTTGCAACTGGAGTGCCCCACCTTCCCGAGTCCCTCGCCCCGCCCCATGTCAGGCTGTGGCCACGCCCCTAACATCGTCCCGCCCCTCTCCCCGCGCCACCACAGCTCAGGCCACGCCCACTCCTTTATCTAGCCCCGCCCCAGATCAGACCACGCCCACTCCCCGCCCCTCCGCTCCCCATCTCAGGTCACCGTGGGCCCCTCGCCCCGCCCCATATAAGGCCACGCCCCTTCTCGCACTATATAAGGCACACCCACTCCTTCGCCCCGCCCAGTCCCGCCTCGCCCCACGCCTGTGGTGCACTTGCTGCCGCCTCAGTGGCTGTGGGAGCGCGACGCCGAGCTGCTGACAGAGACTCCTCCTCCTGCCAGCGCAGGGACACGCCTTCCCGAGGCCCCGCGCGGAAAGTAGGGACGCCGGGGCTGAAGGCATGCTGAGGGACGGGGCTGAGGGACCGGGCCGGCGGCCGGGCACGCAGTCCTCGCCCGGTTCCTCTCAGGCTGAGGGAGCGACGCCGCCGCCGCCGCCGCCGCCGCCCTCGGTTCTTCCCTGTGGGCTGGATGCGAGATCGGGGTCCACCTCCACGCGCGCTCGCGGGCCCGGGGCTGGCCTCAGTCTCCGCTGCCCGCGCGTCCAGCCCGTTCAGAACTGAGGCGCCGCCTGTGAGGAGCAGCCCCAGGCGTCCCGCCGCGCGCGTCCCGAACTTCTCGCTCGTCGCCCCCACACCTGACGGGGGCGGGGAGGGGGCGTGGGTCTTGCGTTCTCTGGGCTTCACGGGGTCCCGGCTCGGCAGGGTCTCCCCGGAATAACAGCCCTGAGCGGGCGCTGTGGAGAGCAATGAGGAGGCAGGGGTGTCGTCTCCGGAAACTCGGGGTGTCGCGCGCAGGTCGCCCCCCCAAGTCGGAGTCGCGGGAGCGGCTTGCAGGAGAAGCCGCGGATCGGCTTGCGGGGTCACCGGGCTTGGGGTGGGGGGCCCGGGTGGCTTGGCTCTGGGGGCAGCGGAGACGAACGTGAAGCGAAGACAACACACAGCCCCATTTTAAACGTACTTAAAACGCCACCTCTGTGTGGGCTTCGCTGCTGCTGTTGTGGTGCTTTTTTGTTTGTTTGTTTGCGCAACCTTCTCTTTTTAATCAGAGCGTTTTGTGGGGTGGGGTCTGAGGACCACCACAGCCAGCGGTGTCAGGAGACCACGTGGGGTGCCGGGGATCGAACCCGGCTCAGCCGCCGGCAAGGCAAACGCCCTCCCCGGGAATGGAACCCAGCTTCACTGTCGCTTCAGCCCCGCTTTCATGAGAATATTTCACAGGACAGCGGGCTGGGCCTGAGCTGCCTCGCCCGCTCGCCCGCGGCTGACCTGGGGTTAGTCCCAACACTGCCCGGGCGCCCGAGCGTCGCCAAGAGTGAGCTCGGGCGTGGCCCAACAAGCAAACGAAGTTTTGTTTTTTTTTTCAGGTAGACTCTAAAAACGATTTTGTAGTGGCTAGTTACGATTATTGACATACGAGCAATTTGATTCTTCTCTGTAAGTCAAAATGTTGTACCTCCCTTTGCTTAATTGTGGGACCTTATGGTGCTGTTGGAAATTACAATTTGTAGAAAGGTGCATATATTCTTTGCCTTGTTTTGAATGAGGGCATTTCCCCCCCACCCCCACCCCGACTATTTTAATTATTTTAGTTTGCAGGGGCATAGGTGAGCCACTTAGAGAGGTGCTCAGTGGCTATTCCTGGTTCTGTGCTCAGGAGTGACCCCTGGTGGTACTTTGGGGACCGCAAGCGCTTGGGCGCAAGGAACCTTTATCCTTTTCTACCTTTTCTTCTTTCTTTCTTTCTTTCTTTCTTTCTTTCTTTCTTTCTTTTCTTTTCTTCCTTCCTTCCTTCCTTTCTTCTTTCTTTTTCTCTCTTTGTTTCTTTCTTTCCTTTCTTTTTTTAAATAATCAGATTTTATTTGAAGGTTTTTTAAAGGAAAGGAAGAAAAGGAACTGGGAGAGTGGAGAGTAACGTGCTCAAGAGAGAGCACGAGCTTCTCGAATGGGGGAGAGGAAGGTGGAAGGGGGGAGCCCCCTACACACATATTCCAACATTAGACATGAAAGCATGAAACTACACATCTCAAGAGGAGAGATGCAAGGACACATGAGCTCAGACACCACATGTGCTCGGCCACGTGGGTGCAAGCAGCGCAGGGGCTCGGCAGCATATGCACCTATCATTTATTTTTAAACATTTATTATTATCATTTCTATATTTTCACATTTCTCTAGCACTGTAGCACTGTCCTCCTGTTGTTCACTGATTTGTTCAAACGGGCACCAGTAACTCTCTATTGTGAGACTTCTTATACGTGTGGGGAGGGAGGGCTTTCCAGGTTCTGCCATTCAGGTGAGATACTCTCGTTAGCTTGCCAGGCTCTCCGAGAGGAATGGGGGAATCGAACCCAGGTCGGCCACGTGCAAGGCGAACACCCTACTCGCTGTGCTATCGCTCCAGTTCCATTTCTAAATATGAAAATTTGATTTTACTTTATGGTCCTTCGGAGTCACATTTTAACTTCAAAAATCAATGCGTTGTTGAATAAACCAAGGTACATTTAAAGAGAAGGAGCCAGAGGGATCATACAGTGGTTAAAATGCTTATTTTCTATGGGGTCATAAAAAATGCTTATTTTCTATGGGGTGGTTAAAATGCTTATTTTCTATGGGGTTCAACCCCAGCTCCGCATATGGTGCCCCCAAGTGCCCCTGAGCATCTCCCGGAGTGACCAACCTCACCACCACCCCTGCAATGAGTCAATACTTCTCAAAGTCTTAAGTTTTCTGTGTGTGCACTTTTCTTAGTTTTCCATATCCTATTGTTCTTTTTTCTCCTACATTTAGCAGAGCAGGTAGGGCCAACCTGGGTTCAATTCCTCCGACCCTCTTGGAGAGCCTGACAAGCTACTGAGAGTATCCTGCCTGAGGCAAAGTCTGGCAAGCTACCCGTGAGGTATTCGATATGCCAAAAACAGTGACAAGTCTCACAATGGAGACGTTACTGGTGCCCGCTCAAGCAACTCAATGAACAATGGGAGGACAGTGCTACAGTGTTCCTCTATTTACTAATTTGAAGATAACACAAATTCTTTGTAGGATAAATAAAGTAAAATATAAAAAGAAATCAGTAATCAGAATACGTTCATTTAAACCTAGTGTGTTCCACAATCTAAGGAGAGTTCTGTCACCTACAAATATTTTTGTATTTTAAATGGGTTTCTTCTTTACATGAAAATAGTTTAAACTGAATATAGATTGAATTAGAAGATAATCTGGGTTTAATAAAATTAATGAAAAATGGTTCTGGTTCCTTAAAACTTAGCATGGGAAGGATTTTTTACATCAGTTTAAAAATGTTTTTAATGTTCTTTCTAGTTCATTAAATAAAACTAAGAAATACAAGCAATATGTTCTACACTCAAGTGCTTATGAGTAAGCGGGGACCATTGGCCAAAATATGGCTTGCAGCTCACTGGGAGAAGAAACTCACAAAAGCTCATGTATTTGAGTGTAATCTAGAGATAACCATTGAAAAAATTCTGTCACCTAAGGTATGTCATTAAGATTATACTATTATTTGCCTTGACTTTCGGAGAAGAAAAGTAAAATAAGTGTGATTATTATAAAAAACATTTTCAAAGAAACTTTACTTCTCAAATAGTATCTTTTAATTCCTATCATATTTACTGCCTGAAAATAAATATATATCAGCCATAAATTATATGGTTATAGTTGTTTTGGCATAAAATCTGGAATAATTATACAGTGAAATGCAGTAGACTTTATATTAGTTTACTTAATATTCATAATAGCTTTGTAGATTTTTTTAATAACCTCACTGAATGTGATAGTTAAAAGGATCAGTTATTGAACTGATCAGATTTCATTGAATTCCTCTTCCGTTGCTTAGTCATTATGTTGTTTGGCAAGCTGCATAATTTACCTGGGTCTTTGTATTTTCTTCTGTAAATTGAGGCTGTTGTCAAAATAATGTACGAAAAGCCCTAAGGACAATTTCTGGCACCAGAAAAAGTACATAATAAATTGTAATCATCATTAATAAATTGAGGTTCAGAAGAGCCAAGATTTGAAATCAAGCCTGACTGCAGTGTTTATATTCTTCCGGTAAAACCAGGAATAGTTTTGGTGGGTTTTTTTTTGTTTTTTTTGCTTACCTACCAGAATTTTACTATATCCACCAGAATATAAATATATTCTTTTAAAGATAAGAAATTCGTATGATTTTTTTAATTTTCAAAGAACAGGATTTCTAATTTTTAATATTCTAATATTTCAAAACTATTGAAAGGTGAAAATTGCACTTCGAACTTCAGGACATCTGCTTTTGGGAGTTGTTCGAATATATAATAGGAAGGCAAAGTACCTTCTGGCAGATTGCAATGAAGCATTTCTTAAAATGAAGATGACATTTCGTCCAGGTATACATGCTATATCTGTTTGTCTCACTTGTCTTGGTCCTTCTGTATTTTTATTTTGGTTGTGATCTTGTAATTGGTTGCTCTTTATAATTTCAAAATGACTATAGTGAATCAAAGTTTCCATTGAGAAAAAGAGTTTTGTAACAGAAAGTACAAGAAATTTTTATTCAATATCTAGTCTAGGAAAACCTTTCTGGAGGGGATAAAATTTGAGCTTATACTTAAAGATGGGTAACCAGCCCTGTAAAAAGTCCTGGAAACAATAGCGTTCAGGCAAAGGGAACTTTACAAGACAAAGGTGAAAAAATGCTTGACTTGTTCAGGGAACAAAAAGACCAGTTTGGTTAGAGAATAGTGAAGGAGGGGAAAGTGTCCTTAGATGATACCACTGATAGGTTTGTAGTACTGCAGAGGCCCTGATTCAAAATTTGGATTTTATTTCAAAGCACTGGGGAAGTCACTGAATTGTTTCTAACATGGGAGCGATCTAGTCTGGTTGCATTTTAAAAACATCACCCAGACTGCTTTGTAGAGAACGAACTTGAGGGGCAAGAGTGGATTTGAGAAACCAGTTAGGAGACTCAGTGGGAAGAAACGGACATTTAGTTGAGAGTTTCCATTTTATATATTATCATTGCTTATTGAATGTGGTTTTGATTTTTTTCAGGACTAGTTGACCTTCCAAAAGAGAATTTTGAAGCAGCTTACAATACGATCACATTGCCAGAAGAATTTCATGATTTTGATAACCAAAATATGAAGTAAATTATTATTTTAAATTTTCTTGGTATTTTATTGTTTTCATCTGCAAATTTCATGAATGTAGATGGAATGTAGTTAACCAAAAAATGTACATGCAATTAGCAAAAGAAAATTAGTTTGGAATTTTTATTTATTTATTTGCTTTTTGGATCACACCTGGTGATGCACAGGGGTTACTCCTGGTTCATGCACTCAGGAATTATTCCTGGTGGTGTTTGGGGGACCATATGGGATGCTGGGAATTGAACCCAGGTCGACTTTGTGCAAGGCGAACACCCTACTCACTGTGCTATCACTCCAGCCCCTAGTTTGGAATTTTTAAATACAACTCCAAAATTGTTTTATTTGCTGAATGTAGATTGCAATATTGACAGTGTTTTCAGCCATTCAGTTAATAAATATTTAATGAGTGCCTTCCATAAGGCAGACACTATTCTAGTTAGGCACTAAAGAGATAGCAAGAAATAAAACATAGTCTCTGGTCTTGTGAATCTTGTAAATTAGTTGGGATAGATAGCTAAAAAATCGGGCTGGAGTGATAGCACAGCGGGTAGGGTGTTTGCCTTGAACTCGGCCAACCCGGTTGGCCCAGTTTCGATTCTTCCGCCCCTCTCAGAGAGCCCGGCAAGCTACCGAGAGTATCTTGCCCTCACGGCAAAGCCTGGCAAGCTACCCATGACGTATTCAATATGCCAAACATAGTAACAACAAGTGTTACAATGGAGAAGTTACTGGGCCTGCTCAAGCAAATCGATATAGTGCTACAGTTAAAGATAGAAAATGAGCAAGTGAATATACAATATACTCATCATGATTTGTATTGTAAAAAAAATAGTAAATAAAGTAAATGATAGAGTTATCAAGAAAGACTTTTCTTAAAATATCAGAACAGAAACCCAAAGGAGGTAAAGGAACAAATCATAAAGCATTGAAGAGAAGATTGTTCCAGGTAGAGCAGATGAAAAGACCCCAAGAGAACATATCAAACATTTTTAAGAAATAACAGAGAGGCTCAAACTGGGGATGAGGTTAGAGAGATAAATGGGTTGCTGATGTCATAGAGTATTATAGGCCAGTGGTTCTCAACATATGGCCCCAGTAGGTGCCCAGGATATTCCAAAGGGGCCACAGGTGAAAATCCCGTAAATGCGGGCACAAGACTAGGGGATGAATGGGATGAGAGGAGATGCACAGAAAGGAAATAAAGCTGTAAGAGAGTTATAGTCTGAAAAAATCTTGAGAAATACTGTTGTAGACTATACTACGAACTTTTATTTTTCTCAAATAGGAAGCATAGTAGGGTTTTCAACAGAAGAGTGATGGGATCTGACTTGATTTCAACCTGCTTACTCTGAAGCTAGGGAGGAAATGGAGAACTATTCTGAGATTATTGCAGTAGGAAGTGCAGGCTTGTGCACTTCCTACTCCACTCCATTCTCATTTTCCAATTTTTATTTTATCAAGGTGCTAGCAGTCAAATTAGCTAAGAGCTAGATAAGACTTGAAGAGATTGAAGGGAAGAATGAACTAATTTCTGGCATAAGAATGAAATTACCATCAATAAGATTAAGATACCTAGGAATTGTGAGACTTAAGAGGGATGAAGGCAGGGCTGGGGAGATCATCTCGAAGCACCCCCAAGTTCAATCTCTGTCAACACATGTTCCTCTAGCACCATTGGTGTAGCCCTGATGGTGCCCATCTCTCTTAGGCCCATGCACTGAACTCTTCTGCCTTTATAACAGAGGCTAGAACCTCTGCCCCCACCATCTTGCCAAAAGGGATAAAGGCAATACAAGTTTTGGACACGTTTATTTCTTCTTTTGGGAAGGTGAGGGAAGAAGGATGAACCCAGAGTCTCATACATGCTAAGCATGCACCTACATCTATGGTCCTTGGACATAATTTTTATTATTATGGTATCAGACATCTGAGTTGGTATGCATATATTATTGGTATAAATGTATGTTATTATATGTATGAAGATTATATACATCTGAGTTAGTATGTAGTTGAATATCTGGGTCTAAAAATCAGGAGAGAGGTTTGAAATACCCCACAAGGAAGTATAGGTTTAAAATAGAAAGTAGAAAGTAATGTGAGGACTGAGTATTGCCTTGTTGTCTACAGTTGAGGAAGAACTAATAAAAGATATGAAAAAGGTATAGCTAATAAAGTAGGAGGAAAACCAAGAGTGTAGTGTCCCAGAGGCCAAGAGAAAACATATTCCTTAAGAAAGGAAGTAAACATCTATTTCAAGGGCTGTTAGAACAAGTAAGATAAGGACTGAGAATTGATTATTGGATTTGGTTGACAAGGAAATCATTTATACATGTGTCTATATGTCTAGTGTTTATAAATAATTAAAATTAAAATCCTTATTTAAAATATACCCATTTTTACAAGTGATTTTTTTAGTATATTATAAAAATCACTGTATTCTGTTTGCATGTTTTTCTCACTCTTGTATTTCTCCTTAGTACTACAGAAGTTTCAGAACACTTCACTCTGAACCAAAGTAAACCTGAAGATATCACACTTCGGGAAGATTATAGTAATGATCTACTTTTCCAAGCTGGAAGCTTTGGTAAGAATATTTGAGAAATAAAAATTATAAATTATCATCATTATATTTGCATTCTGTTGTACCAATGCTAATAGAAATAGGTACATCTATGACAGTGGAAGTATCTTTAGAAAGAATTTTTTATGATAAATAATAAATTTGTTATTTCCTTTTTCTAGCATAGGTGTCATTCCTAGTCTTAATCTTACAGTGCACTTTTTTCCTATATTCATCCATTTATAGTATACATACTCTATGCCAGATGTCATGAACATGGGCAGTTTAAACATTCATTTCTTCCCTAAAGGAACATCAGATTGGGAGAGAGACATACATTCAAACATTTGTTGCATATAAATAGTTGCTGTATGGTTATGTATGTAGATATATAGTTAAATATGTATATAAGGTATTACATGTGTACTGCATATGATACTTTCAGGATGATATTTATTCCAACAAATTATATAAATTGTGAAATAAAAATTTTTGAAAATAATTTATGGAACCAAGAGAATTATCTCAGTGGCTTAGAGTACCTTTCTTTCAAGCTTATGGTTGTGAATTTAATCCCCCATGCAACCACACATGCTAAGCAGGAAACTACCCTGCCAGCTCTGTTATTTGTGATCTCTAGTTCTGCGAGTGATTTCCAGCTCCATTCACAGCAAGGTTCATGTAAGTATCACAACATAGGGGTGCAATTATGATCCTGAACTGAAATATGTGTGAGAACCACAGCCTGGAAGTACAACCACAGCCTGGAAGTACAACTGCTGGTGAGCGCATGTGTGATTCCTATGGTGACTTCCAGTGAATAGTAGTACTACAGTCAAATGTTTGTGAGCACAACTAAAGAGTGTGATTCCCCAGTAAGCATGAATGTATATCTCAACTGAAAGGGGTGCAGCTTTCTGTAAGCACCATAGCTGAGTGAGGTATAAGTACTGCAACCTGTACAATCCCCTATAACCACCGCAGCTAAGTGTGTGAGCATTTAGATGTAGAACCCCTGGTCATCACAGTAGTATGAACAACAATGAAAAGAAAAACAGAAGGGTGGAGGAAATAAAAATATAACACAATAAAATTAGTCAAAAGTTTAGTGAGAAGATTATGCTATACAATAAATACACATTGATTATGAAAGAAATTGTTGAGTGTATTTTAGATTAGATAGCTTTGGCTGTACAGCAGTTGTCTTTTCCAATGGCATTTAGCATATTTTATTATTTTCCCCTTACACTCTTTTCTTTTGTATTGTTTTTGTCATTTTTATAGTGATAATAGGAGGCATATATACACCTTAAATATAGTGTTCACTGAGATCACACACTTTTTGGTTGTGGTTCTTACTGGGCATTATACACTTCATCATGGTACTTGCATAGTTTAGCTTTGTACTGCCCTCTTGGTTGTAGTATATGCTGGAGATCACACACTTTGTTGTGGCTCTGAAGATCACAAAAGGCTATGTTCTAGGGATTGCATTCAGCGTAGGGGCAGTGCTGGGCATAGGACTCATGCAAGGCAGGTGTCCTACCACTCATCCTTTCCATCTTGTAGAGTGATATTATTATATACTTTCTATATTAGTTTGAAAAGTCCATAAGAAAAGCATCTATGTTGTGTTCATATTTAAATGTCTATGGTACCCAGAGCAGTGGGCTTCTATAGAAAGATAGCCTAAAACGGTCTTGGATTTAATGAAAGAAGATGGTGAAAAAAATACGAAGTAATGCTTGAACTATGTCTCTAAACTCCACTTCTGACCTTTTTTTTCCCTTTCATAACTATTAGGATTTACAGATTTTGTTTTTCAAATGATCTGTGGCAAATGGCCAATTTTGCAATTTTTTGTTAACTTCCAATATGTCATGGATTAACACATTGTAGAACACAATACAAATTATTTACTAGACAAATTTAAAACTTAAAATGAGACTAAATATTTTGTCACTAATTCAACATAAATAAAATTATTTTTATGTATGAATTCTTTTTTTTTGGGGGGTGTGGTGTTTGGGGCCACACCTGGTGATACTCTGGGCTTACTTCTGGTTCTGCACTCAGGAAACACTCCTGGCAGAACTCAGGGAACCATATGGGATGCCAGAGTCTGCCACATACAAGGCAAGTATCCCTTTACTGTTACTCTAGCCCCCAATAAAATTATAGTGCTTTAAGCCATTTTAAACATTTACCTGTAACTGGTATATTTTCCAGCACCATTCTACAGATCATTCTTCTAGTTGCGTGATATTTTACTGGCTGTAACACCAAACCTTGAAATGTAAAAGATAATAATAATCATATTCTCTACTCACATTTCCATATAAAAGATTCTTATTCAGGCCTACAACTTTAGGAACACTTTCAATTTTGCTTTCTGTAAATATTAGATTAATGCTGATGTTTTAAAATCTGAAGTGTCTCTTGGTATTCTATTTCCCTAGTCTCCAATACAGTTCTTCAGTCCTAAAGACTTGTTTGTCCCATAAAACCTCTTGCACATCTTCTTCCAATATCTTCCCACATTTTATATGTGTACCAAAAAATTAATTGCCCTCAAATTCCTTTTATTTTTTTATTTTTAGAAATTAGAAAAGTTTATTGGAAAGTAGAAGAGAAAGCAAAAGGAAGTACCCATGAGGGAGGAACTTAGTAGTATAGGACTAAATTCCAAATTCCTTTTATTTTTAATGTAATTTTTCTCTGCCTAAATAAGTGCCTTAAATTCCTGTGACTTACTGATAGATATTCTGCCTATTTTCAAACATTTATTGCTTGCTTTATTCTATCAACTCCTTGCTTTACTCTTTTCTCTACTCAAGCAAGTGTCTCACGAGATAATTCAATTTAGTTGTTCTCATTTCTATATCTTCTTCAATTTAAAAATGTGGGAAGAACATAGACTAATAGACCTGAGTTTGATTCTGACAATTTTCTATTGAACAAATCTTTAGTCCATCATAATAAAGGGCATAATAAAATGCCCCTTCTCAGCTCTTACTTTCTATTAGATGTAAGCCTAAAGAGGAATTTTCAGTATGAGTAAAAATTCATGTTTTTTTCTCTGCTTTGCCCTGTCATGTTACTATGACAGAAAGCAATGATACCTTTCTGTGGATGTGTTTCCTTGTTTGTACAAGGGCAACAAAAGTATCTTCTATTAATATAATATAGTGCAAATAATTACAGTTAATGTTAGCTAACCAGTTTTACTATCTTTTTCAACTTTCTTCTCTCCAATTACTAACACATTGATCATTCCCAGTCATTCAATAAAAATTTGTTGGATGAATATTGTAGGCCCATTCTTTAATATCTTACCAGCATTTTTGTTGCTAATAAGGCAACTATGCTCCTTACAGTTCAAATCTCCATTATAAAGAAGCAAATACAGGCAATTGTCCTGGAAATAACATGAAATTACACTTAAAAAGTGCAATTCTTTTTTTTTTCTTTTTGGGTCACACCCAGCAATGCTCAGGGGTTGCTCCTGGCTCATGCACTCAGGAATTACTCCTGGCGGTGCTTGAGGGACCATATGGGATGCTGGGAATAGAACCTGGGTCTGCAGCGTGCAAGGCAAGCATCCTACCCGTTGTGCTATCGCTCCAGCCTCAAGAAGTGTAATTCTGGGTTTTTTTTATTTTATTAAAAAGGTTTTTAATAGTGAGACATCATGAGGTACAGTTGCAGACTTACACATTTTTGTGCTTGGGTTTCAATTATACAATGATCAAATACCCATCTCTCCACCGGTGCCCATTTCCCAACACCATGGATCCCAGTATCCCTCCCACCTTCCATTCCCCCCTCCCCCATCCCACCCTGCCTCTGTGGCAGGGCATTCCCTTTTGTTCTCTCTCTCTTATTGGGTGTTTTGGTTTGCAAAAGAGGCAATGGGTGACAATTATGTTTAGTCTATAGTCTACTTTCCGCATGCTTCTCCCATCCTGGGAGGATCCTCCCAACACCTTTATTTAGTGTTCCAGAAGTGTAATTCTTAATTCTTGTATGTCTACCTAAAGTAGAAGAAATTATTTTACTTCCAACAATTAACATATGTATAAATTCAGCTATACTACAACTGAAAATGCTACCCTGATGTTTTCACTTCCCACCCCATATTGCACAAGAAACAACATTAAACTAAAAATCCAGTCTACGCTCATTAATGGAATAACTTTAGTTGATTAGTTCAAATAATATTTAACTCATTTTTTTATATCTAAGATATCTGTAAGAAGATAAATGAGTAGCATTTCTCTTGGGGATTTGCCCACATCTCAGCTGTAGATGTTCTGCTCCCAGCTCTCTCCGTTCTAAAGAAGCTGGTGTTCTCTTGATTGCTTAAGTTTGTCTCTCCTTTTTCATATTTCCCTAAACAAAACTATTCAATATACACAAAAAAGAATATAATTTCTTTTAAGCCTAAAATTCTATGTTTGTCTAACTCACTTATTTTTGATGTTATGTTCATTCAGGGGAGGAATCTGAAATTCTCAGAAGACATAGTTTTTTTGATGACAACATCTTGCTGAATTCCAGTGGTCCTTTACTTGAACAGAGTTCTGAAAGTGTCATTGGAGAAAATGTTCTGTTCTGTGACAGTAGAGATGGATTTGGAGATGAAGGAGCTGCAGGAGAAATGATTGGTATGTTTCAAATCATATAAAAATTGGATATTTTTAAAAAATGGATATTTATGTTATCAAATTACTGAAATAAATTAAACTTGTTAGATAAAATTAACGGGCTGGAGCAATAGCACAGTGGGTAGAGCGTTTGCTTTGCACGTGGCTGACCCGGGTTCGATTCCTCCCCCCCTCTCTGAGAGCCCAGCAAGTTACCAAGAGTATCTTGCCTGCCTGGCAGAACTTGGCAAGCTCCCCATGGCATATTCGATATGCCAGAAGCAGTAACAAGAAGTCTCACAATGGAGACATTACTGGTGCCCACTCAAGCAAATCAGGAGGACAGTGCTACAGACAGTGCTCCAGATAAAATTAACATTTAACATATGTTTCAGTGTCATTAAATCATTACATATTTTATGCAAGGGTTCAAATAACTAGATTTAGGTAAATGGCCAACTATTTAAATATATCTTCCATAAAAGTTATAAAATATTGCTTTTTGTACTTAGAATTCCTAAATTTTAGAGAGAAAGGAGTAAAGTTTGTATATGTCTTATAAAATATGCTAAATCATGTACAAAGAACCATTTTTCTTTCCTCCACCCCTCTCAGAGAGCCCGGCAAGCTACCGAGAGTATCTCACCCGCATGGCAAAGCCTGGCAAGCTACCCGTGACATACATATTCAGTATGCCAAACACAGTAACAAGTCTCAAAATGGAGACATTACTGGGCCTGCTTGAGCAAATCAATGAACAACGGGAGGACAGTGTTTTTGTTTGTTTCAGAAATGATGGAACAGAGTTTACTTTATTTTTATATTAATGATATTATAAAGTAATCATAGAAATGGTATACAGAAACTTGAAAATACAAATGTGTATATTTTATTTTTTATATTTCTGGTTTTGTTTTGTTTTGGGGTCACACCCAACAATGCTCAGGAGTAGCTCCTGGCTCTGCACTCAGGAATTATTCCTGGAGGTGGCTGAGATCCATATAGGATGCTGAGAATCAAGCCCAGGTGAAACACATGCAAGACAAGAATTCTACCCACTGTAGGATTCACACTTCAACCCCAAATGTATATATTTTAAAGACATTGACATATCCAATGTTTTAAAAAGTTCTCGATGGGGCCTGAGTGATAGTGCAACAGGTAGGGCCTTTGCCTTCACGCAGCTGATCTGGGTTCCATCCCCGACACTCATATGGTCCCCCAAGCACTGTCAGGAGGAGTAACTTCTGAGTGCAGAGTCAGGAGGAACTCCTGAGCATTGCCAGGTGTGACCCAAAAAATGAGGGGAAAAAAATTCTCTGATAGGGTCAGAGCGATATTACAGCAGGTAGAGTGTTTGCTATGCACACAGCCTATCAGGGTTTGATCTCTGGCATCCCATATGGTCCTCCCCAGTTCAGAAGTAATTCCTGAGCACAGATCCAGGAGTAACCCTTGAGGATCACTGGATGTGGCCCAAAAACAAAAACATAACTTTTTTTGATAATTACAATTTTTCTGAAATTTGAAAATTTTGGGGGGGAAACGTAGAGACTCCACCTCAGATCTCTACCAAAGGAGTTTGAATGTTCTTATTTCTTGATTTTAAATCTAATGACTTTTTTGTTGTTCATTTGTTTGGATTTTTTGTTTTGTTTTGAGGTCTTATTTCTGGCTCTGTGCTCAGAGATCATTCCTAGCAGAATCCTAGGACCTATGTGGTGCTGAAATATGTGTGCACCCTAGCCGCTAATGCTATCTTACCCCTTTAATGTCTTTCTAAGAAGACAACTATCTTATGTTAGTTTAGTATTTCCTGAATAAACATCTAAAATAGATTTTAATAAAGAAAATGAAATGAAATATATAAATTTCTTATTATCCTGCATAAAACTTGACTATGTAAACACATTTATTAAGTAGGACTTTCATTTCTGTATCCCTCAATTCCTTGCATAGACTATTAATCAATGTTTAGTGGGCAAATAACAGATTCAGCTCAATGTGACATAACTGTTCATTGTATCCTTCAAGATAATCTTTTGCAAGATGATGAGAATCTTTTTTTAGAAGATGCAGATTTGAACAGAGAAATTTTCCTGCCTCCTAAGCCTTTACAAACAACAGTGGGTATGTTGAAATTTTTATTTCTGTAAAAAGTGAAGAGACCCTAAGATTCAAACTAAGTCTCAAAACTTTATGGTTTAAGAAGTCTCATAATATAGTGGAAATAGTAAAGAATATTGTCTTAAACTCTCTTAGTCTGATTCTAGATCTTACAGAAATGAAAGATGTGCAATATACAAGGAGATGGGAGAAAGATACAAATGATGGGCATAACCAGGATTGGGTTAAATAAACAGGATTAGGTTTATTTGAAATATGAGCATTTAAAATACTCTACCAAAATGTTTTGGGCTGAGTTAGTTCAGGTATTAAAGTGCTTTCCTTGCATAAAGCTGACCCCAGTTGGATTCCCTAATACCACATATATTCCCATGAGTACCACCAGAGGCCACTCCTGAACACAGAGCCAGGAATAGCCTAAGTTCTTCTGAGTTAGCCCAAACTTCCTCCCCACAAAAAAAAAAAAAACAACAAAAAAAAATTCTTATGTTTGAAAACAATTAAAATAACATTGCATGGTAAAAAAAATGTTTTGAATTAGTATGGTTATTGATAGTAATGTGATATTTAACCATTGACACACAATTTGAGTGAAATTTGAAATGAGATATTTTCTACATAAAACTTTTGTGAAAGTACCTCAGATAACTTGAGGTCTGACAGCCTTATTGTTCTTAAGAATTAAAAATATCTGTAAAGATAGTAAATGGGTTAAGGAGCTTTCCTTCATGTGACTGTTCCTTATTCTATTAACTGACACTACATGTGTTCCCCTAAGTATTTCCACGAGTAACCTCTAAACATAGAACCAGTAGTAGACCCTGAGCACTGGTGGTAAGACCCCAAATCCTAGTCCCTAAGAAAAGATTTTAAAGTACCGTGAGGGCCTGAAAGATAGTCCACTGGTCTGTAATACATGCTTTGCATGCAAAAACACTGGGTTAGATCTCTGGCACCACATGGTCCCCAAGCACCAAGAGTAACCTTAAATATAGAGCCAGCAGTATAAACACTGCCCTTCATCCCAGTATAATTTTGTTTTGTTTTGTTTGAGAGCCACACCCAGAGATGATTCTCCGGGCTTCCCCTGACTGTTTTGTGCTTAGGAATCACTCCTGGCAGACTTGGAGGACCATATAGGATGCTAGGGGTTGTTTCTGGGTCAATCACATGCAAGCACCCTATCTACTGTACTATTTCTCTGGCCCCATCTGTTTTTATTTTTCAGTCTTTTTGATGTTACTTTGCTTTCTAACAGTGTAGATATTTAGAATGTGAAAATAAATAGGCAATGCAAATGTAGCTATGGTTCTTTAATGGGTCAACTAATAAATTATTTAACAGAATAAGTAAAAAGTTTAAGCACACATATGGAGTCAAATTTATATGAGTTATTTACAGTGATAACTGAGCCTTATAAACCACATGTGGAAAAGACACTATGGTTGTCTGAGCCTCTTTATTTATATGTTAAGTGCATAACTCTAAGAATTTAAGTATGTCTCTAGTAGCAATGTAAGCCTTGAAATAATTTATATTTTACTTTGACTTTTATCTAGTTCTCTAGCTTTTAATATAATCTTTTTATAATCTTTTTAAAACAAGTATTTTTATGTGAATACTGATTAGTAGAAACAGAGCCAGAGATCATATGTCTACTTGAAAATGAAGAAATAAATGCCATCACACTATCAAATGAAGAGGAAGGATTTACCCTTGAACCAATTGATATTTCAGGTAAGAGTTTTTATCCTACTTTTAATTTTGAACATACTTTTAGAAGCTATGATATATTTGAATGGTCCATGAAAATTTGGGAGTAGACAACCTAATACTAACATTTCTTTCTAACTATGTCTTGTCTCAAATCTTCACCCATTCTGGGAAACCTAACCTTCCTTCTCTTTGCATCTTTGCTAAGGAAAAGCTTGACTTCCACTTTCTACCTGACAAAATGACTTTAATTACCCTTAAACCTAGCCACCTGCAGGGTAGAGGGGCGGAGGTAAAGGGAGGAGTACACACTGGACATATACCAAGTGATGCTTCAAAAAGTTATTATATATATGTGTGTGTGTGTGTGTATATATATGTACATATATATATATATATACATATTCTAAGGAACTTCCAAATTGACTGACTTGGATCCTGAGAGATAGTATAGAGGTCAAAACACTTGCCTTGCAAGCAAACAGCTCCATTTCAATCCATGACACCATATACGCTCCATTACTCAGGTACTGCCAGGAGTGATCTCTAAACAGAGTCAGAAGCAAGCCCTGAGCATCACTGGGTATGTCCCAAACCACTCCTCTTCCCAAATTAAATGATACATCTCTCAGTATACTCTCTGCTCTATATTTCCTCAGTTGTCCACTAGAGTACTTCCTAGCAGCTGAAGGAACAGTACAGAAACGTAGAGCAGCTGCCTTGCAAGTGTATAGTCACAAGTTCAAATCACAGCATCACACATGGGCCAGGGGTGATTCTGGTTTTTGTGCCTGGCAATTCTGCTGACTCTGTGATCCTTTCTGACTTTAACACAGCCAGATGTGTGTAAGCATAATGCCTCCAAAAAAAATTCCTCTTACGCACCCATGCACATTAAATAACACTATACAAATGCCAGCTATTTTCTACTCATACACTCTAGCTGAGCAAAAACCTTAGAAAGCATAATTTTCAATAGAGTGATGGGTATTTTTATCCCAGAACAACCCAGTAGGTTGTTTTATTGTAGGTTTTATTGTATCGATGTTCTTAGCAATGCATTGCCTAGCATACCATTTTACAAAGCAATATGACCAATCATATTTGTGTTTATTTCTTTGTTGTTGGCATTTAATTTTTTAATTGCAATTCTGTAGTTTAATATGCTATTAATGATTTGCCCGAGCAAATCAAAGACCAACGGGATGACAAGTGATAATGATTTCTCTATATTTGTGTTCATTTCTTTCTATTTAGACATTGCTGAGAAAAAGAAAAGTAAAAAGAGGAAGTTGCTCATAGATCCAGTGAAGGAGATCAGTAGCAAAACTATGCATAAACAACTTAATTCCTTTACGGACACTCTCATGGTTTTGGAACTTGCACCTCCCACTGAAAGACTGATGATGTGGAAGAAGAAAGGAGGAGTAGAGACTCTTCTGTCAACTGCTGCGCAGGATTTGACTCATGCTGAACTGAAAATGGTAATGTCTTCTTTCTATTTATGTGGGTGTGATACTGGATTATGAACAAATAAAAGTTTATTTATAACCATATATCCAATAGAATTTAAACTTTTTAAAATACCCTTACTTTTGAATTCATTTACTGGATAGGTATACAGAAATTGTAGTTTTAAGTTTTAGCATATGTGTTTGTTTTATTGAATTGCTTATCTTATATAAAAATGTGTATTTTTGCAGTTGTTTACAAAATTTTTTCTGTCCTGTGACTTTAAATTTACAAGAAGTTTGATACAGAAGGAATCAGTAAGGGAAGAAACAGGAAATAAAACCACAAAAGGTGAGACATCCTAATGCTGTTGGTGTTGAGGTCAGGCACAAAAACAAAAAGTTCATTTACACTATAAAATTTAGATGTTATTTAACTCCCAATTTACAGATTTAAATGTTCTCTCTAGATGGATATTTAAACTTATGAAATAATTTTGTTAATTTTTCTTTATAATTGCAGATTAATTTTTGTTGAACGAACTGTAGACAAATTATTTTATCTGTATTATGTAGACTATTCTTAAACTCACTCTCTCCAACCCTTCCGACCCTCATATGTTCTTCTGATAAACCTTTAACAGATGTTTTTTATATCTAGTATAATGTTTTACTTTAAAATCACGGGGACCAGAGCAATAGTATAGCAGGTAGGGCAGTTGCCTTGCACATGGCCAACCAGGTTCAATATCTGGCACCCCATATGGTCCCTGAGCACAGCTAGGAGTAATTCCAGTCTGTAAAACAAGGAATAAGCCCTGAGTTCATCAGGGTGTGACCATAAAAACAAAACAGGACAAAAATAACAGAAGGCTGGGAATATACTTGATGGGATAGAGTGCATGATTTTCATGTAGGAGCCCCAGGCTTGAGCCCAGCACTTCATGGTTCCCTATGTACCACTGGGAAAAACTTCTGAGCACTGCAAGCTGTGGCCTCATAACTAATAATAAAATAATAACAAAATAATTAGTATTTAAAAATCACCTATTTGTAAGATTAACTTTTAAGTAATCACTGCAATTAACTTAAGACAGATATTTTCATTTATCTAAGTCACTGTCACTGTCACTGTCCTCCTGTTGTACACTGATTTTTCTCGAGCAGGCCCAGTAACGTCTCCATCGTGAGACTTTGTTGTTACTGGGTTTGGCATATCGAATACGTCACGGGTAGCTTGCCAGGCTTTGCCCTGCGGGCGTGATACTCTCGATAGCTTGCCGGGCTCTCTGAGAGGGGAGGAGGAATCGAACTCGGGTCGGCCATGTTGACTGCATGCAAGGCAAACGCCTTACCCGCTGCACTATCGCTCCAGCCCATTTATCTAAGTAAATATGAATTATTAATAATTGCTCATTATTATTATGACCATTATAAAGTAATGTAAAAACAAATTTTGTGGAAGTATACTTTACTTCCTGATCACTCTTTCTGAAAGCATCAGCATGTGCTAGACAAATATACCCAGAAAAACTTGAGCAATCTATGTTGTTATGAGAGCAGATTAATTTTTTGGAGTGAGTGTGGAAGACATTAAATGATCTCCACCATCTATGGTGAAGTATATATGTGATGAAGAGGCAGAGGAAAGGAAAGGGGAAAAAAATATGTGACATTTAGGGAATTACAGGAAGGGTCCTGTGCAGTTTGTTTAAATTCTTGGTGTTTTATTTCAGACGTGTATAGTTGTTGTAACAAACATATTCCACTTTAAGTCTGAAAGATATTTTGGTGAATCTTCCTTAATAAATCAGAGACCTCCATGACAGAAGAGCCCCGTTACCAACAAGAGTCCAGTCAAAACGAAGCTTGGAAGGAAGCGATTGATGGATCTATTGGTGGTTCTTATGAGGATACAAGTAGAAATAATAACTCTGAGGTAAGTTAACCAGAGCAAATACATTACAATATTTTGCTTCTCTGACATAGATGTAGTGAAGAAGCTTAGAGATTTGGATATATCTTTTTGCTTGTTTGTCTTTTTGTTTTTCAGTCACAACAAGGCTGTGCTCAGATTTACTCCTAATTCTGTGCTCAAGAATCACTCTGGGTGATGCTTGGGAGGTTGTATGTGGTGACAGGGTCAAACCCTTAGTTACTGTACTTTCTCTCTGGCCCCTATATATTTCCTTATACTCATAGTTTATATTCATTTTATTTTATTCTAGAATTTCTTTAGTAATTCGCAATCACTGTCACTGTCACTCTCACTGTCACTGTCCTCCTGTTGTTCATCGATTTGCTCAACCGGGCCCAGTAACGGTTCCATTGTGAGACTTTGTTGTTACTGTGTTTGGCATATCGAATACATCATGGATAGCTTTCCAGGCTTTGCCGTGTGGGTGAGATACTCTTGGTAGCTTGCCGAGCTCCCCGAGAGGGGAGGAGGAATCAAACCTGGGTCAGCCACGCTGGCCGCATGCAAGGCAAACGCCCTACCGCTGTGCTATCACTCAGTTATTAGAAAACGGTCATGGTCACGGTCCTCCCGTTGTTCATTGATTTGCTCGAGCGGGCCCAGTAACATTGTGAGACTTGTTACTGTGTTTGGCATATCGAATACATCATGGGTAGCTTGCCAGGCTTTGCCGCCCAGGCGAGATACTCTCGGTAGCTTGCCAGGCTCTCCGAGAGGAGAGGAGGAATGAAACTTGGTCGGCCTGGAGCGATAGCGCAGCGGTAGGGTGTTTGCCTTGCACGCAGCCAACATTAGAAAACATAGTTGAAAAAAAAGGACTTTTTCAGTAGAGGCTGGGATCGGGAGGTTGGGAGAGAAACTGGGGACATTGGTGGTGGGAAATGTTCACTGTGAAGGGACAGGTGTTGGAACATTATATGACTGATACCCAATCATGAACAACTTTGTAACAGTGTATCTCACTGTGATACAACTTAAAAAAATAAATAAAAATTAATTTTTATCTTAAAAGTTAAAAATAAAAACTTTTTCAAGGCCCAAGAGATAGTAGTGTGGATAAGGCTGACCTAGGTTTAATCCCTGGCACCACATATGGTCTCTCAAGCATCGCCAGGGGTGATCGCTGTGCACAAAAGCAGGAGAAAGCCCTGAGCATTGCTGGATGTGGCCCAAACACCAAAAATACATTTTAAAACTCTTAAATATTTTTTCAGTTGACACTTTGTCAATTTTACAAATGTAAATATTGCAGCAACACCAAAAAAAAATGTACTTGTGTGGGACTGGAGAGATAGTACAGCAGAGGGCACATGCCTTGCACACAGCTGACCTGGCTTTGATACCCTGCATCCCATATGGTCCCCTGAAAACCACCAGGATTTATTTCTGAGTGCAAAGTCAGAAGTAAACTCTGAGCATTGCTGGGTGTGGTCCAAGACCAAAATCAGACAAACAAACAAATATATATATATATACTTGTGTTTTTCTCTCTGTTCCATCATCACTATATTTTGATAGTCACCCAGGAAATTCAAAGTTAATCCATAATGAAACTAAATGCTCTTAGAAGAAAAGACAAATTCATAATTCATTAAATCAAAATATGTTTGACTAAGTATTTTATAATATACCAGATACTGAGATAACTGGATCTCAAATACTACACTCTTCCTTATTTGGGCATGGGCATATCTTATGGTGTAGCTTTGAAAATTATCATTAGGCAAGTTTGTTTAATTTACTATTTTAACATATTAAGAAATAGGTTTACCCAAGTGCTTGAAGTGAAGGAAAATGATGAATACATTTATTTTTCATCTTTCACTTCTTAATCCTAAACTTATGCTTTAAATTTTAATTTCCTTCTTATAGTCTGTGAACAGATGTAAAATAAAGTGGGAAATCAGAACACAACTGAAGGAACAAGAAAATGTTGATTCTTATTAATCACTTTCACATCTTTTTAACAAAAGTTTTACATAACTTAACTGCACATTAAGTTTTATGTAATCATATTAAAGGATAAAATGAGGGCCAGAAAAATAGTACAATGGGTAGGGTGTGTGCCTTGCATGCAGCTGACCAGGTTCAATCCCCAGCACATATGATCTCCCAAAACCTATCAGGACTGATTCTAGAGTACAGAGCCAGGAGTAAGTTCTGAGCATTGCCAGGTGTGGCCCCAATTTTTTTTTAACTGAATCACCTTGAGATACAATTACAAAGTTGTTCATGATTGGGTTTCAGTTATACAATATTCCAAAACCCACCCCTTCACCAGTGCACATTTCCCAACACCAAGTGTCCCCAATTTCCCTCCCATCAACCCCTTTCCCCCAACCCCTTACAACCTGCCTCTATGCTGGTACTTCTCTCTCTCTCTCTCTCTCTCTCTCTCTCTCTCTCTCTCTCTCTCTCTCTCTCTCTCCAATACAGATACTAAAAGGTTATCATATATATGCCTTTACCTACTCTTAGCACTCAGTTCTTGTTCAGAGTGATCATTTCCAATCCAACTATCATTGTCATAGAGGTCTCTTCTCCATTCTAACTCCCCCTACCCACCTCCAACTTGTGACAAGCTTCCAGCCATGAACCAGTTCTTTTAAAAAGATAAAAATGCAACTCTGGCCAAGAATAGGCCCTGAGAACCAGCAGATATGAACCAAAATCATCACCCCAAATAAAATATAATGCTACGCCTTATATTCACTGCAAATTTTTTAAAAAAAAAACTAAAATGGAAAACGTTAACTATTTTTTAACTTAACACATGTGAATAACACAGATGGCAGCTGGGAAGTGAAGTTTGGCAAGAGTTTAAAGATGGAAAAGGGGCCAATGGGTTCCATAGTAATTAAAAAAAGGAAGATAATAGGAATAGGAAATTCCTGGTTTCCTCTTTCTTATGCTCCCCCCCCCCACACACACACCCCTTAATGTTTTCATTCCCCTTCCAGAAGAGAGTTTTTTCTCCCTTTCCCACCATGGCAGCTTCAGTAGTGGTGATTGCATCCTGTCATGGCCCTAGGTAGGAATCTTTATATCCCTTTCCTCTTTCTCATCCTCCCTGCTTACAGATCTTCCTCTTCCACCTCTACTGGCATGAGAATAGAGATAGAGGGCCAATACCTTACAAAATTTATCAAAAGAAAGTTCTCAGCATAGTAGCAGAAAACTTTTGAGTGGGCGGCTGCAGTGGTGAAGGAAATAGGAGGGGGAAAGATGGGCAGCAAGGAAATTAGTTTACAAATTCTCATTTGTAGGAGGCATTTGGGAGATAGGCACGTATAAGTCAGTGGAGAACTACCTAATATTCTTCAGGAATAATGTTTTGAGAATGAGGTTGAATCTTTGAAATTAGTATTCTTATGATTATAACACTTAACAAAATATGATTGTTTCTGTAATAACTATAATTACTTTGATGACTTACCTTTTTTGCCTAATTTATTTTATCAGGATAGTGTTGAAATTATTTGTTCACCTGCTGTGGAATCAAATTCTACACCCCAACAAGAAACTGAAAATCGCCGAGTTGAATTGGTAGATATATATTAGAGTGTTAAGAATGTTCTTTAAAAAATGGTTATAAAATATTTAACTCTTATCTAAAAATTAGGTTTTTGGCTCTTAAGATCTAGATTTATGATTTAAAGATGTGTTTGATTTTAGTTCACAAAAAACATATGTAGAATTGCTTTAACCTTTCCCCCACTACTTTGCTTTTTCTTGTTTTTATTTTGTTTTGTTTTGTGATCACACACAGCGACACTGAGGGATTACTTCTGGTTCTGCGGTCAGAAATTACTCCTGGCAGTGCTTGGGGAACCATATGGGATACTGGGGATGGAACCTGGATCAGCCACATGCAAAGCTAACACCCTATCCACTGTACTATCGCTCTGGTACCTTTTCTCCTTTATGTTGAAACTTCCAATAATTTACAGAAAGGTGCAAGGTTTTTATGTTTATCAAAGATAAGCTCTGGTTTAGAATATTAAGAATTGTTGGGCTGGAGAGATAGAACAGCAGGTAGGTTGTTTACCTTGCATGTGGTCAACCTGGGTTTGATCCCCAGCATCCCAGATGGTCTTCCAAGCACTACCAGGAATGACTCCTGAGTGCAGAGGAAGGCATAACCCCTAAGCATCATGGAGTTTGGCCAAAAACAAACAAACAAAAAAACCCCAAAAATATAATAATAAATCTGCCTAAAATGTTGAGAATTGCTATTTTAAATTATTCTATCATCTCCAAAGAAACAGAGTTATACTGGGGATGACCTATGACATTTGAAATTTTATTTACAAAAGTATAAGCATTTTTTCCAAGCTACTTTTATGCCTCAAGACCAAATCTATACAAAACTTTCAGAGATCAGAAAAAATAAAATTATCTGCTAAAAAAGCTAAAGTTCATGACAAAACCAGAAGTAATATCTGACTATCTGATACAATACATATCACTGCCTTATTTCTTTAGTTCTTGTTCTCTAGTATGATGGCATTTTTTAAGGGTTTAGTGAATTTTGAAATTTTATTTTAGTAAATAAAATAACTGGCACCTGTCCTGCATGTTAGACCACAGACTAGAGGTTATAAACAAGGCAGTAGCTCAGTGGTTTTCAGCTGTTTTACGCATGCAAAACCAACACCAAATAGCAGACTGGTTGAATAATTTTGCATTTGATTATCTTTTCATATGTAGAAATAGATTCAATTCTCTGGATTTTCAGGAACTGAAAAAAATACCTGAACTTTTTACCCGAAACATCCAAAGAGCTGAGCCAAAAATAGGTTTTGCCTCTCTTTTCCTTGCTGTAGACACAGATTATCTTCATACATAGTCAAGTAAACCATGACATAGCACAAGTTCAGCTATTCTAACAATTCACAGGGCTTTACATACAATAGATTCAGCTGGATGATGTGTAGATAGATCAAGTGGAGAGGATTCAGCAAAGTACATACACTATTTCTTCACAGTCTTTCCTGTGGAGGTTTAGCTATGAAATATAGGTAAAACTGCAGTCTTATAAGTCTAACACAGTGGACCATCACTTTTCATGTATGAAAAATATCATTTGTATATTTAACAACAAAATATATATTAATAATTGGGTGAGCTCCTTTATCCCAGGATAGACAATATAAGGAAGGATACAACATGTATACGACAAGGAAGTTGGGACAGTTGGTGAGAATAGAGAATCATGAGAACTTAAACCTGAAGAGAATATTCTGGAGCTTTCTGAATTCAACTTGGAGTTCGTAAAACTAAAACCTGCTCTTTTTTTTTTTTGGCTTTTTGGGTCACACCTGGCAATGTACAGGGGTTACTCCTGGATCTGCTCTCAGGAATTATTCCTGGCATGGCTCAGGGTACCATATGGGATGCCGAGGATTGAACCCAGATCGGCCACGTGCAAGGAAAATGCACTCCCTGATGTACTATCGCTCCAGCCCCAAAACTATAAGCTTTTTAAAGAAGTATCTGGATTCCAGAAATATGCATGAAGTCTTGAGAGTGGACTTAAGGATGACAAAGATGCTAACAGGCTATATGGTCAGAATGAGCCTAGGGAAATTTATAAAGTGGGTCAGACTTCTGCCACTTTCCCTTCCCCAACTCTTTGTAAACCTGCTCTTTTATCAAACTCATCAGCACCTTCCTATGCCCAGCTTCTGTTCTTAGCTAATAAGGTGTTACTTGGTAAAGGCTTAGACTCACAGTGAGTTCCTGTGAAGAGATTTCAACTTAAATTTTTTTTTCTTTTTTGGGTCACACCCAACGATGCACAGGAGTAACTCCTGGCTCTTGCACTCAGGAATTACTCCTGGCGGTGCTCATGAGACCATATGGGATGCTGGGAATCGAACTCAGGTCGGTTGCATGCAAGACAAACTCCCTATCTGCTGTGCTATTGCTCCAGCCCCTCAACTTTGAAATTTTTAAATATTGAGATTTTTTTTTTAAGTAACAAAGTTTTGGACAAGGCTCACTGGCAATCTGAAAGGTTTCTCACTTAATGGTATAAAACTACTACATGTCAGTTTTTGTAATAGCTTCTATATTACCAGGTAAGTTCACAGGCCAGTTTTTCTATAGTGTTATGTTTACTCATGTCAGTTGAATTCAAATTTACCAGAGCTTGGATGGTGCTAGCAAAATAGCTGACTTTACTTTTTGAAATTTAGGGGGATATATTACCCACAGCATCTCTTACTCTGAGCAATTTTTTAGAAATGACCCAGAAAGTATGGACATAATCAATACTCTGTATTTGTATATTATTCTTATTCTCTCTTTTATTTGACTGTCAACTCCTTAATTTGCAGGACCATTATAGTATGCTGCAAATATAGTTGTGCTTCTTGTAGCAGTTAACACAATGCTTAGAAAATAGCAAACTTTTGGGACCAGAGCGATTTTGTAGCAGATAGGGCGTTCATTTGCCTTGTGCATAGCTGACCAGGATTTGATCCTTGTAATCCCATATGGACCCCCTAACACCAAGAGTAATTCCTCACTGCAGAGCCAGGAGTAACCTCTGATAATCACTGAGTGTGACAAAACAAAAAACAAACAAAAGAAAGAAATAGTAAACTTTTAACAAGATTGACCTAAATCTTTTATTAACCATTCAAACAGGAGCTGTTGGAAAATGAGCAAAACATTATGGAAGAGAGATGGAATCGAAGAATACTTTATATGCTAAATAAATTGCGGGTAAGATAGGGTTTTATACTTTACCTATATTTTAAAATAAATAAAATATTGACTTTAGTATTCTAGATATTGCTAAAACTTAAACTGTTCTAATTACAGCCAAATTTTATAAAGTGAGATGCTAGGTGAGGCCTAGCATATATAAAGCATGTATTCCAGCAACTTAAGCTATCTCACTGGCCCTTAACTAATTTTTTTCAAAATAAACTGAAATCTTAGCTTTGTAACATCCCTCCCTATCTCCAGTATATTTTTTATTAATTTTTAAAGAAGTTTTATTGGATTACTGTGAGATACACTTACAAACTTGTATGGTTGCATTCCAGTCAAACAATGCTCAATCACCCATCCCTCTACCAGTGCACATTTTCTACCACCATTGTTCCCAGTGTCCCACCCACTACCCCCACCCCACCCTACTCCCTGCCTCTGTGGCAGGTACAATCCTTTTTACTCTCTCTCTAATTTGGGGCATTACAATTTGCAATACTAAGAAGTCATCATGTTTGGTTCTTGGTCTACTTTCAGCACACATCTCCTATCCTAGGCGATCCTTCCAATCATCATTTACTTAATGGTTTTTTCTCCATTCCAACTGCCTTTTCCCCCAGCATGTGGGGCCGGCTTCCAAACCATGGTGTGATCCTTCTGGCCCTGATCTCTTCTGTCTTTAGGTGTTAGTCTCATATTGTGCTACTTTATATTCCACAGATGAGTGCTGTCATTCTATGTCTGTCCTCTTTCTGACTCATTTCACTTAGCATGATACTCTCCATGTCCATCCACTTATACGCGAATTTCATGATTTCATCTCTTCTAACAGCCTCATAGTATTCCACTGTGTAGATATACCAGAGTTCCTTTCCTGTATATTTTTAGCATAGTTCTCAGTATTTATAATATAGATGTTTGTTTGACTATGACAGAGCCAAAATATTAATGACCTTAAAATATAAGTTTATTTTTCTTGCAGCTGAGAGATAGCTCAGGTGGTAGAACATACGTCTAATAGGTAATCTCTGACACTCTTTGTCTACCAGGTCTTGTGACCCTCTGTGATAACCCTGATGGCCTTTAATCGACACTAGCCAAGCACCGCAGACCACATAGGGTGAGCTCTGCCAGGAGTACCCAGATTTTTTTAATGTTAATTTTTCTTAAAAGAAAAAGTACAATCTTACATGACAGCACAACTGCCCACAAAGCTCAGCTACACAAAGCTCATAGGCATGTGCACAAAGTTAACAGTGACACGGGTTTCCTATGTTGCATTTGCAATATTCTTAGGACCCAGAAATTATGTGTATGGTTTCTCACGTTTTATTGACCAGCATTTAGTCACATTAACACATTTACCTTGGAAATATGGTCCTAATCTGGCAATCTTGGGCCCAGCTAACTATGTTATTGCTATGAAAGAAGAGAATGGGTATTAAGGGGCCAGTAACCATTGCTACAAAGATTCAGTGAACTTTTATAGTGCAAGTGCATTCTTGCCAAATGTATGGAACTTTCTGAAGGGTTGGGAATGTTAGTTATTACCTCCTCATCCCATTGATTTAGTGTCTATATAACCATCCTCAATCCTTACTCCAAAATCTCAGACAATATAATAAAATATGTTTTAGTATGGTCAAACATATCAATTGATTCATTGCCTGCCTGCCTGTCGGCCTTCCTTCTTCCTTTCTTCATTCTTTTTTCTGAAGCAATCCCTCCCAGACTTCATCATTGCTCTGTTTTTGTTTTGTTTTGTTTTTTTATAATGTAGGAGTACTGCTATTTGTTCAGCCAGTGATGAAGCTGATTGAATTGGGCACAAATTCCACATTACTTTTTTTTATTCTGAATGTTAATTTTATTTTATTATTATTTCCCCCCCTTTTTTTGATTCACCATGAGATACAAAGCTTTCATGTTTGAGCTTCGGTCATACAATCATCAAACACCCATCCCTTCACCAGGGCACATTTTTCACCACCAAAATCCCCAGTATACCCTTCCCCACTGTTCCAACCTTTCCCTTGCTTGTATGGCAGACAATATCCCCCATACTCTCTCTCTACTTTGGTTACATTCAATGTTTCGACACCAGTCTCATCACCACTCAAACCTGCTGAAAAGGCAATGCTAGACGATTTGTTTTGTATTGCTTGTTATGGATAGGATGTAATGTCCAGGAAATCCTGTGTCATTCTCTTCCAGGAGCTTTAGTTTATAGTCTCTGGGTCTTGGCCATTGATACATGGCCCCAGGGGCAATTTGTGGGTGTGATTGCCAAGCTACTGGAAAACTGGGGACCTGGGGGGAGGAGGCCCAGTCCTGATCCAAGCGGGCTTGGAGATCTTAGTCAAGGTTTCCCACATACATGAGTTTTCCTGCTGGTTGGATCTCTGGTGAGGTTCATTCCCTCTTGGGTGAGGCTCATCCAAGCGTGTGGAGAGTGGCCCATTGCTCTGTTTTAATACGAACTAGTTGCCTTCTATGTTTGTTTCAGTTTCAGTTTTGGGAAAGGAAATGACAATGACAAGGAAATTCCTTTTCTTCTTTCCTAAATGCATTACTCTATTTCTTGGTTATTTGATCTGTCATTATTTTGAATTTTGTTTTGTTTTGTATTATTTTTGGCCACACCCAGTGGTTCCCAGGGCTTACTCATAGTTCTGTGCTTAGGGATCACTCCTATCGATTTTATGCTCAATAGACCATATGTGATGCTGGGGATTGAACCTGGGTCAGCTGCAAGGCAAGTGCCCTGCCCCCTGTACTATCTCTCTGGCCCTTCTAGATATTTTTTAAATGATTTTTGAAATTGAAAAACAGTCCCAAGGTAAAAGAAACCAGTCAATACACATCTTGTCTCTTCAGAAGGAATAAATGACTGGGCATATTATCTCTTAAAGGTTGCTGACATTGGGTCACTACTTTGGTTGAAATAAAGGACAACAAAGTTTAGCTTAATTTGTTAAATGTTATTGGCTATATATGGTATTTCTAAAAATGCTTTACAACTATGCAAGGAATGTAGTACTCATGGGGATACTGGCCTATATTCATCATAAGATTTCTAACTAAAACCATATACTTCTATTTTAGGAATCTAAGTCAACGTATTAATCTTTATTCTAGAAGTTATCTTAATCCATAATTAAATACTTAATTATACCTCAGTTTTTTTCTAGCACATTCACAAGTGCCCTCTGATGAATCTAGCTTCTTTTAAATCTGATCATAGAAATGGGGACAGGTGTTAAAACCAAATTAAATTGAATTAAGTCTTCTATTTGTGTCAGTAATGCTGTACTCATGATCCCCTGCCACTGAGATGTACATGTATACTTCTACATTTACCAGTAGGATTGATTTTATTTACTCACACCTACTGTACCTTTAAGGAAAGAAGCTGATCATCTTCATTATATTTGAAGCCTCCCCAAATCCTGAAGTTTTCCCCCTTCCCCACCTCCAGGTTAAACTAATTGCACTTTCCAAAGCAGCCACTTACATAAGTAATGATTTGGGAGGGCATAAGATCCAACATTTACGTGACATATTAGGAATTTGCAAAATACTTTACATCCTTTTGTATGCATTTTCTCAATGAACCAAGCCCATGCTCAGTTACCTACAGTGTTTTTAGAGTACTGATGGATGAGTCATTGACTTTTCCTCATTAAGGATTTTATAATCACTTATCAAAAATATAAGGGCTGGAGCAATAGCACAGCGGGTAGGGCGTTCGCCTTACAAGCGGCCAACATGGCTGACCCGAGTTCGATTCCTCCGCCCCTCTCGGAGAGCCCGGCAAGCTACCGAGAGTATTCGATATGCCAGACACAGTAACAACAAAGTCTCCAACGGAGACGTTACTGGGCCCACTCGAGCAAATCGACGATCAACAGGAGGGCCTTTACCTTTACCTTTACCTTTACCTTATCAAGAATATCAATATTTTTGTTTATTATGTATTCACAGCCTGGGTTTTCTTTTAATAATCATAATTCATTCCTTTTCTCTTTTCTAATTATTTCCCCAGGAAGCCAACAAGATGGGAAATGAATACTTTAGTCTATTACATCTCTGTAAAAATGGTGACCGAAAACAAGCAGCAGCCAAATTTTATAGCTTCCTTGCCCTTAAAAAACAGAAGGCTATTGAACTGAGCCAGAGTGCTCCCTACGAAGATATCATAGCTACAGTGGGACCAATGTTCCATGAAATGTGAAGAAATTCACAAAATGCAGATTTTTGCTCTCGCTGAAATCTCAGTATAGACTGTTCAATCTACCGAAGAAGCTGCCTAGAAGCAATGGAAGGTCTGATTCTTTTCATAGATAGGTCAACTCTACTTCCTCTGTAAATTCAAAATAATCATAGACAGACCTGGAAACATATATGCTCACAGAAATACCTATAGACAGCTTAGTAGTTTAAAAAAATTAGCTGACATGATTATATAGCATTTACCATTTCCTTGACCTAAATGTGCTTAGCATACATATTTTAAATAGCATTTGCCTTCAAGAAATATTTAAAGACCTTAAAAATTAATTAATTTTTTATTGAGATACTATAGTTTATAAACTGTTGAAGTCATTGTTGATACAGTTTCAGAGATACACCACCAATCTTTCCATCAGTATTTCAAATTTATATTGGATCACTCACTTATATTTTATCAAATTGAATTCAAATTTTATTATTGTCCCACAAATAACAGTAAATTGATTCTAATACATATCGTCCTTCATTTGACATAATCCCTGATTTTTAATCTAATATCTTAATTGAGTAGTTGTAAAATTCATCTTTATTTTAAATGACCCGAATGGCTTTGGGTCTATTTACAGGCTATTTAACTTTTTTGCCACTCAATTAGTGTAGTCATAATATATGTGTAAGCAAAATAAATTTTGCTTTTATGTTAAAAATTAGCAGATATTTACTCTGCATGTTGTCTTCGAATACAAGGACTAGCATAATAAATGTTCTTTTACTTGGTCTTTACTGAGCATTTTTGATATTAAAACTATTGTTTGGGGGGAGCCTGAGAGATAGCATATTGACTAAGACACTTGCTTTGCATGCAGCTGACCTCAGTTTCATCCCCAGCATCACATATGGTCCCCTGAGCCCCTTAAGGAATGACCTCTGAGCACAGAGCCAGAAGTAAGCCCTGAACACCAGTGGGTGTGGCCCCAAAAACAAAACCCAAAACAAACACACAACTATTGTTTTCTTTCTTAATAGACTTAAGTTTTAATTAGGAAATTTTCATATAATGCTCTGTGAGCTCCATTATATACTGCATTGTATATACTTTATGAAATATAAAGCCTAGAATACTCTAAAATACTGTTATATCTGGAATTATGCTACAAACTACATTAAAGTGCTCTTTTTGATATATTAACTATGCTATTAAAATGTCAAAATTACCTTTTAAGTTATTTTATTCTTAAAATTAACATACAGGAAAAATTGAATTTTTCATTTTGGTGCGCAGTTATATGAATTTAAAGCATTCCTGAAACCACCACAATAAAACACTAACAATAGCTTTATGCTCAGTCATCTCCCTTGCACTCTCCTTCAGTCTAAGTCCTGGCAACCACCCTTCTACTGTGAATATAGTCTTGTCATTTGAGGGGGTGGTCCTTAATGAAATCATATAGTCCATAATATTTTAAAGTTGTCTTCTTTCACTTTGTATAATGTCTTTAAGATTTGTCCAAGTTATTGTATATACCCATGAGTTCCATTCACTGTTCCTATTTATTGCACAGTAATAGCCTGTCATCTGAATACACATAGTTTACTTATCCATTTACCCCCTAAGAAACATTTGCTTTTATTTTTAACAACTGTAAATAGGGTTGCTATATAAATTTGTGAGCAGTTATGTGTGTGTTTAAGTTAAATATCTAGAATTGGAATTACTGGGTGCATGGTAACTGCATGCTTAATTTTTTTTAATTATGGGCTAGTGAGATAGCTGGGTGGTGCATATGCTTTGCATTAGGGAGGCCCTTAGTTTAATGCCAGCACTCCATTCCTTCTGCCCCAGTGACCCCTGGTACCTCTGGGTAGGAACATCACTGCTTCATTGGCTAAGCTCTGACGTGTCAGTGCCATACTGCTGGGGCTAAGCATTACTGAAAGTTACTTGGGGCCCCCAGCACTGCTGGAGAGGTCCCAATTGTTTTAAATTAGCAATTTTTTCCAGAATGACTTTTGCACTTCATTTTTCCAGAATGACTTTTGCACTTCATTCACTTCATCCAGTGATATTTTTGATACCTGTATATTCATATGCAGTTGGAATAAATAATGTCAGATTCTGAATATCTTTTAACCAATATCTCCCACTAGTAATATCTTATCTAATTCATTTTCTTAACAGTTCACCAGTTATAAAAGCACTTATTTGTATGTTTTTTTCTATGTAATTTTATCACATGTAACACTTCAGTACGGTTCTCTCATATATAATTTATGTTGCCCTTTTTGAGTTATAGCCACCTCCCTCACTAGTCTTTCCCTAGCACTGTCTTCAATATTTTCCATACTACTATCATTTTCATTAATATAATTGACTTTTATTGTTAACTTTGGATCATATGACCTTACTAAATGCATAAGTTTGTTCTAGGAATTTGTTTGATTGTAGTCACTTGCTTGGGATTTTCAACACATGCAATCATGTAACATACAACTTGGGCCAGTTTTCTTCTTTGCAAGCTATTTCTATGCAGAGAAGACAAGTCACTCTTTCACCACCAAGCATGATATCAGCTATATTTTATATGGGTATGTATCTGTATAGGTAATGTTTGTCAAGTTGAGAATATTCCTTTCTAGTCCTCATATGTTGAGATAGATATTTATATTTCATTATTTGTGAATGAGTATTTAATTTATGTTAAATGCTTTTTCTGAATCAATTGATTGGAATAAGCTTTTCTTCTTTTGACTGCTAATATGATGAACTAAACTGGTCAGTTAAACAAATTTAACCAACCTTGCATTTCCAGGATAAATGCTGCTCCTTCAATATAATTGATTTAATTTTCTAATAGCTTTAACAACTCTCTTGGAGATATACCTCATAAAATGTACTGTATCTAAGTGTTCAATTCATGGTTTTTAGTATCTTCACAGCATTACACAACTATCACCCTTCTCTAATTTTAGAAAATTTTCATCACCTTAAAAGAAAGCTTGTACTCATTAATTCACTTACCATTCCTTTCCTCCTTCCAACCACTTATTTACGTTTAGTCTCTAATGTTTGGAGGCCTTTTATGCTTGACTTTCTTCACTTAGTATAATGTTTCCAAGGTATATTGATGTGGCCAACATTTATGCTCTCTTCCTTTTAAATGCCAGATTAATATCCCATTACATGAGTATGCCACATTTGTTTATCCATTCATCAATTGATAGTCATGTAGATTGTTTCACGTTGGGGATATTACTAATGCTTCTCTGAAAAATTACAGTATATATTCTGTGGATTGTACAGCTAGAAGTGAAAGGGCTGGACAGAGAATCTAATTTTTTGGACTTCCTCCTCTTCTTTTCCTCGAGACTAGATGGAAAAAATATGAGGAAAGTGATGAACATTTTAGATTATCATTATCCTTCCAATGCTTTGCCATCTTGCTCGTTTTTTTTTTTAGGAGCCCAAATACAGGTCACTTAAAAGTCCTAGTAACTCCTGATTTAGGCCCCCAGAGTTATGGGCAGGTAATCTATGACAAAGGGGCTAAATATATGAAGTGAAGCAAGGAAATCTCTTCAACCAATAGTGTTGGGAAAACTGGGTAGTCACGTGTAAGGAAATGAAATTAGAACCTTACCTGACACCACTCATAAAAGTAAACTCAAATTGGCGGCTAGAACGATAGCACAGAGGGTAGGACGTTTGCTTTGCATGCGGCTGACCTGGGTTCGATTCCCAGTGTCCCAAATGGTCCCCTGAGCACCGCCAGGAGTAATTCTTGAGTGCAGAACCAGGAGTAACCCCTGTGCAACACCGGGTGTGACCCAAAAAGCCAAAAAAAAAAAGTAAACTCAAATTGGATTAAAGATTAGACCAGACATCATAAAATACATTGAAGAAAAGAGCAGAACTCTCCAAGATATTGACTGCAGAGGAGTCTTTAACAAGATTACCAGTGGCAGAAACAACAAAAACAAAATTAAACAAATGGTTCTACATCAAATTAAAAACCTTCTGCATAGAAAAGAAACTCAGGCCCCAATACAAAGACACCCTACTGAATGGGAGAAAATATTTGCACACAGACATCAGATAAACAGCTGATATCTGAAATCTGTAAAGCACTCACAAAACTCAACAACAACAAATCCAACAACCCCATTCACAAATGGGGTGAAGAGATGAATAGACACTTTCAAAGAGGACATACAGATGTCCAACAGGCATTTGAAATAGTGCTCACTGTCACTCATGATTAGGGAAATGCAAATGAAAACAGCAATAAGATATATCTCATGCCCGTTAGAATGGCACATATCAAAAAGTCTGGAAAGAGTGCTAGTAAGGCTGTGGTGAGAAAGAAACCCTCATCCACTGTTGGTGGGAGCATCATCTGGTCCTGCCTCTATGGAAAGCAATATGGAACTCTCTCAAAAAAAATAGGAGGGGCTGGAGCAATAGCACAGCAGGTAGGGCGTTTGCCTTGCACGCAGTCAACCTAGGTTCGATTCCCAGCATCCCATATGGTCCCCTGAGCACCGCCAGGAGTAATTCCTGAGTGCATGAACCAGGAGTAACTCCTGTGCATCGCCGGGTGTGACCCAAAAAGAAAAAAAAATAGGAATAGGACTGTCATATAAAGCCATTGTACCACTTCTTGGCATGTACCCCCCAAACACAAAAACATTAATTCAAAAAAAATATGCCATCTATGTTCATCATCACATTTAGTACAATAACCAAGATAGGAAACAATCCAAATGCCCAACTACAGATGAATGGATCAAGAAGTGGTATATATAAACAATGGAATACTATTCAGCTGTAAAAAATAACAAAATCGTCCAATTTCTAGCAAGATAAACGGAACTGAGGATTTCGTGCGAAGTTAGGAAGAAAGGGATATATACATAAAGATCTCTCATATGTGGAACTCAGAGATATACAGCAAAGTAGCAACCAAGGGCTAAAAGGTAGCATAGCAGAACTGATTCACACAACCTTGGTGGTGGGGGAGGAACATTGGGGTTATTGAGAGGACAGAGATGGGTACACCAGTGATGGGTGTAGAATTATGTGCCTGAGAAACCATAATTAACAGTATTGTAAACCACAGAATCTCAATTTTAAAATTTTTAATAAAATTAAAAGTCCTGGTACTGTTAAGGCACTTGCCTTGCACATTGCCTACCCCCGGTTTGTTCCCAGGCATCGTGTAGGGTGAACTGAACACCACCAGGAGTGATTACTGAGCACAAAGGCAGGAGTAAACCCTGAGCACAGCCTGGTGGGGCCCCAACCTCCAAAAAGTCCTGCTAGATGGCCAGAGAGATAGTACAGGGCTAAGGTTCTTACCTCGCACACACCCTGCCATTCCAACTGGTCCCAGGGCACCTTTTATGGTTCCACGAGAACCTCCAAGGATGACCTCTGAGGACACAGCCAGGAGACAGCCCAGAGCACAGTCAGAGGTTCAGTCCCAGGCACTTGCCCCGCCCCACTGACCCGGGCCCACCAGGAGTGAGCCCTGAGCGCAAGACCAGGAGTAAGCTCTGATACACACAGTGTCCGGGTGTGGTCCCCAGACCAAAATAAATAATAAATTTAAAATTAAAAAAAAAAATTCCAGGTGAAGCTGAAACCATCACCCCTTGTTACAAAGGAGAAAGCTGGAGCCCAGAAAGGTAAGAGACACGGGGACCGGAACGATAGTACAGCGGGGAGGGCGTTGCCTTGCACCCGGGTTCCATCCTCGGCATCCCATATGGTCCCCCGAGCACCGCCAGGAGTGATTCCTGAGTGTGGAGCCAGGAGTAAGCCCTGAGCATCGCCGGGTGTGACCCAAAAAGAAAAAGGCAAGAGACGGGCCCAGGGTGCCCCTGCCTGTCGTGGGAGCCACGCGCTCCCCGCCACGCCCTGGCGCGCGCCCGCCGCGCTGTGAGTCGGGGGCCCCCCGCGCGTGGGTACGAGAGGCCCCCGCCAGCGCCCCCTGGAGCCGGGTGCCAACTATCTCTTTAAGAAGCAAAGTGAGGCCGGGCCGCTTACGCAGCTGCCCGCGAGCCGCCGACTGGCTGCGCCCCGGCACCCCGTCAGCCTGCGCCCCGCCCTCCCGGCAGCCCCAGCCCGGGCGCGCACCCCGCGAGCCGCCTGCAGCAGCGCCTCGGGAGCGCTGCTCGGCGGCCCCGGCAGGGCGGCCGGAGCCATGGACGCGGCCGCAGGTGATGCCCCCGAGCCGGGCCCCGCCGCGCCCCGGCGCCCCGCGCGGGGAGGTGGAGGGGCCGCGCCCTGCACGCGCCGGGGACCCCGCGCCCCGCCCGCAGCCGCCCCCTGCGGCCCCGGGCGCGACCGCCCGCGCGGCCCCGCGCGTCTTCTCTAAAAAAAAAAAATCTCAATTTTTTTTTCCCAACCCCAGTTAATTTTTTTCCTTCCCCCGCCGCCGCAGGTCGCTGATCCAGGCCGGGCAGCTGCAGCGGCGACTGCAGAGGCGCTGCGCCAAGCGGGGCTGGAGCGCTGCGAGCCGGCGGGGCTGCGGAGGGCGGGCGCGTGGACGCAGGTGAGGAGGCCGCGGAGCAGACGGGCGGGGGGCTCCCCCAACCCCCCAGTCTCCCCCACGGAGCCGCACCGCAGAGGGGGGCGGGCGGAGGGGGGCGGCGGGAGACTGCTCGCTGCGGTAGAATCCTCCAGTGGGCCCCGGCCGAGGAGGGGTTAACTGTGACTCATCTTACCCTCCCTTCATTCCCTGCACCCGGTATCCTGCGCCCCCCGCCCCCACCCCTCGGGAAATGCGCTCGTTAGACGGATGATGCCCATTGCAGCTGGGAAGACGCCTAAGGTGGGCGACGGGGAGGGTCTTAAGGACCACCCCCACTCGCGTCTGTCTGCCGCGTCGTCGGGTATTTAGCAAACAGTTCCGCCCCTTCTTGGGGGGAGGAGCAAGGGTACTTGGGGGTGGCAGGAGGAGGGAACCCCGTAACCACCCCAAGGTCAAGTGCCAGTGCTTGATTCCTCACCTTGTCCCCCGGTGGAGAAGCAGCAAGGCCCCGCAGGAGAACTGGAAACGAGGTCCAGGAGCCCGGGTGGAGGGAGGCCTGGCCTCAGTCTCCCTCACAGGGACCAGGGGATTTTTTCCCTCGCCCTTCAGCCGGGAGGGAGCCCGGCTCTTTGGAACAATCTGCCAACCCGTCATCAGCCCTTACGCTGAGGGCTCTGCCACCCTCTGCCCTTCTGCCCATCTGCTGGGGTGGAGTGGAGGGAAGGGCCCCGAGTGTGGTCCCCAGGGCCTTTGCGTCCCCGTAGACCACATGTATCCATCTTAGTTCTTTCCCGTGTGGGTGTCCGTTCGTCTGTCAAATGCAGGTGTTGAATTGCTTCTTGGTCAGTTCACTTTTCGTTCGTGACTGGCTCTTCCTGGTGGGGTGGAACCCTCACCCACCCGCACCTCCTAAAGAAGCTCAGAACTTAAGCTTTGGGGCTGGGAAAGAAGGGGTTTGGACCCGGAAGTTCTCGAAACAGTGACCTTGTGGGTGCAGTGACTCTGGTGGCACCAGTCTGTCCTACCGTGGCATCCCAGTCCCCCATCACTAGGGTCACCTCTGTGCAGTGGCTTCCCACGTTTCAGTTCCCTCATTCCTCAGTCTGGGATCCGTGGGGGTCTCCGGGGGCTCTGGTGAGGATTCGGTGAGATGGACAGAGAAGCCGTGTCTGTGCACAAAGCGTGTTGTTGGGGGCTTGGGGGTGGGGGGAGCCAGGGACGCTGGGACCCTCCTTCCTCCCTCTCTCCCTCTCGTGCCTCTGGCTGGTCCCTTAAGAGTGTGTTGGGCCGCCCGGCTAAAGGCCTAGGAAGCATCCAGGCAGTGCAGATGTTCCCACTGCAAAGGCTGAAACATCTCTCTGGCAGCTGACAGGCCCGCGGGGGCATGGGTAACCCAGCTGGGCTTTGGAAAATCCTGGCAGCAGAGGCAGAGTCCCTAAGGCAGGGTGGGGGGTGTGGTAGGACGCTATGGGGCCCCGAGGGTTCTGATCTCACACAGACCCCCTGCACGCCCCTCCTCTCCCTGAAGTCTCCTTGAAACCAGACAGACCACTTTTCATGTCCGTATTGTCTATTTACCTTCTCTCCTGCTGTCATTTGCAGCCTCTTGTCCACCCTTTCTTTGCTTTTTCTTTTTTTTTGGGGGGGGGGAGAAGGGGCGTCAAACCCAGCAATGCACAGGTTACTTCTGGCTCTGCACTCAGGAATTTCTCCTGGCGGTGCTTGGGGGACCATATGGGATACTGGGAATCGAACCCGGGTGGGCCGCCCTACCCGCTGTTCTATCACTCTAGCCCCCTCGTCCACCCTTTCTTGCTCCAGTTTATTCCATGGCCAGAGTTGGCCTCAGACAGTGTGATGGAGACTCCCCACGGGGAAGGGCAGGACGCTTCGCTGCTGTACAGCTGGGCCAAAAGAGATTGTGGCCATAACCGCCCTGGGCCCCTGTTCCACGCACGAGACGCTCCTCCCAGCAGAGCCCTGAGTGTTTCCTCTCTGCGCCTCTCACCACTAGCCCGTGGCTGGGCTTAGTCAGTGTTGCATCAAATCAGTCTGAGGAGGAGGGCCAGAGGCATAGCACAGCGGACAGCTCACCTGAGGTTAGTGTCCAGCACCCCAGCCAGGAGTGATCCCTGAACACGGAGCCAGGAATAAGCCCTGAGCATGTATGGGTGTGACACCCCCCCCCCCCCCGCCCGCCCACCGTCCCTTAAAACAAAGAAGTTTGAGGAAATGTTGTCTCTAACTCAGATAGATGAGGGAGGAAGCTGGAAATGCACCAGCGGTGTCAGGAAAATCACCACAGGGCCCTGTATGTGTTGTTGGTTACCTTTATTTGTTTTTTGGGTTTTTTTGGGGGGCCACACCCGACAATGTTCAGGGGTTATTCCTGACCCTGCACTCAGGAATCACTCCTGGAGGGCTCGGGGGACTATATGGGATGTTGGGGATCGAACCTGGGTCAGCCACAAGCGCCCTACCCTCTGTGCTATCTCTCTCCGGCCCCGTTGGTGACCATCGTTATCACAGTTACTAGTACTATGGTGAGGGGATATGGCCTGTGGCCCCCAGCCGTCCCCCCCCTCCCCTGGTCATGTGTGAAGGGGCAAGATGAGATGGGAGTGGTGGTGGCATGCGCACACAGCTGGTGCTGGTGGGTGAGAGATGAATGGAAAGGAGGGGGGCCTGGGGAGGGAGGGAGTCCAGGCACTTGCTGTGTTGGGGGGCCGGGGAAGAAGGAAAAACCCGGGGTGGAGCACAGAGGGTAGGGCGTTTGCCTTGCACACGGCCAACCCGGGTTTGATTCCCGGCATCCTGTATGGTCCCCTGAGCACTGCCAGGGGTGATTCCTGAGTGCAGAGCCAGGAGTGACCCCTGTGGATCGCTGGGTGTGACCCAAAAAGAAAAAAAAAGAAGGAAAAACCCAATGGGCCAAAATAGAGGAGCAGTAGAAAAATCAAGAGGCCCAGGCCCGGGGGCTGGAGAGGGGGAGTGCAGGCCTTGCAGGGGACGCGCTGTGTCCCGCTATCCAGCACCACCAGGTATAGCTTCAGTGACCCTAAAACATCAGGGCAGGCTAAGCTCTACTGGACAGGCCTCCCTGCAAAATAGCCATGTCAGGTCTCCTCGTACCAGCAACTCACGGTGTGACCTAGGTCCATCCTGCCGCCGCCTCCCGCCTCTGGGCTCTCTGCTCTGAAGCCCAGGCCTGAAGTGCACGATCCCTGCGGCCTCTTGTGGTTCTAACCTTTTGGCTTTCTTCCTTTGCTCCTTGACTTGGGGGCCACATCCAGCAGTGCTCAGCGGGTGCTCAGGAGACCCTGTGTGGTGCCAGGGATCAAACCCAGGGTCAGCCACAAGCGAGGAGGCATTTAGCCTTGTCCTGTCTCTCCTCGATTTGGACCTCTGGTCACATGGATTTTGTTAAGCGAAAATGAGGTCATTATTATTTTCCTTCGTTTCGTTTATGAAGCACCAGCCCGTGACGTAGCTCAGCCCTGGGCATATGATGCCTATTTTAAAGAGGAGACTGAGACTTAGAGATGGCCTTGCCTGAGGCTGCCCTGCTGGAGTGGCAGGACTGTGTGTCTGTCCTCTGGTGGGATGGAGTGTTCTTGCCCTGGGCTGTGCTGAGTCCCAACATCCTGCTCGCAGGACTATGAGGGGCGGGGGCGGTTCTCGTGCACGCAGAGGGGATTGGAGGAAGAACCACCGCGGAGGACTCAGGACAAGATGTTTCCCCCCTAAGACTGCACTGCAGGGGACTGGCAGGACTGAAAACTGTGGACAGCAGCCCTGAAAAGTCTTCCTGTCGCTGGGGGCTCTGCTTGCTGAGGGAGGGTTCTGTCCCTGAGCTAGAAGGACGGATGCGCCAGAAAGATCAACATTCTTCCTGCGTGCTTTCACAAATAGGGGAACACCCTGCTTTATAGAGGTTTGAATATTTACTCCTCGGGCCATTGCCATTACTTAGGCGATTGGGGGTTGGACCGCACCTGGCGCTGTGCGCAGGACTGACCTGAGTGGAGCTTGGGGAGCCACAGGGAGCGCCAGGAATTCGAGCCAGACGTGGCGGGATACAAGACAAGCACCTTAGCCCTTGTACTAGTTCTCTGTTCCCAAGGCACTACCATGTTATTCATTTTACATGTAAGAAAGCCTGGGTCAGGCTCAAGCCCAGAAGCACATGGCGAATCTGTTGGAGAACCTGAGAAGGTTTACTGGGTGGCATCGTTTGGGGAGTCAGTGGGCTGCTTTTAGTCTGAGCTCTCCCTGCAAGTGTTACTTTGGGTAAATCCGTTCCCATCCCAGATACAGAGCGGATGCATCTGCTAGCTCTTGGAGTTCCAAATACCACCGCATCCCCGAGGATCAGAGACTATTGCTCGTCTCACTAAATGTTTCTCTTATTTGGTGTCTTGTGTGTTGGTCAGGCCCTGGGCTAAGGGTTTGGGATACAGGAAAGAGTGAAAGGGGATCTCTGGTTTGAGAGAGCCGCCCTCTGCCTGCAGGAGGCATATCTTAACATGCAGGGGAACTTGAGGGCTAGGTGCAGCAACTGGGGGACTTAATGAGGCATAGAAAGAAATCCTGAGGGGGAGGGGCGGGTAGGAAGGCCACTCTTTGTGCACCTTATTTTCTGACTTGTGTTTGTGTATAAGAATTCTCCCTCGGGGCCGGAGCAATAGTATAGCTGGTAGGGTGTTTGCCTTGCACACGGCAGACCCGGGTTCGATCCCCGATATCCCATATGGTCTCCCAATTACTGCCAGGAGTAATTCCTGAGTGCAGAGGCAGGAGTAACCCCTGTGCATTGCCAGGTGTGACACCCCCTCCCCCCCCCCAAAAAAAAGAATTCTCCCTCACTTAGAACCATTCTAAAGAATTCTAAAGACTTTTTGACTTTGAAGCACACAGTCCCAAAAAATGACCAAGGGTCCAAGGGATCACTTGAGCTCACTTGATGGCAGTTTCACCAGAAGTCTCCATTTGTCCCAGGTGCACCTGAAACTTGCCTCTCC